GGTGCACACCCCTAGTGAGGCTTATAGTCTTTTAGCTAAAGGATGACAGTTAACTAACCAATCAATAAGATGAAATGGATGGCAAATTTAACTGCCAGCTGGAAAAGGAGCCGAAAATTATCCCTAAAGTAGTCCAATTTAAAATAAATCAGTGTTATGACAACAGATATCTGCAAAAAGTAAAGTTTTACCTTCACCGACTCTTGCATCTTCACGTGCGTGCACACCATCTCCTCCTTGGTCGGATGCTGGAAATTCGATCGGCACCAATGGTTCCTCTTTAACGGGCAATTCGACGCCGACTTCGTCCCCAGTCACGGAGGGTAAAGAGGCCGGAGGCGGAGCTTCCTGTGTGTCCGTATAAGTTACGCTCAGATCGTCTCCTGAAATCGACCGTCCACCAGTTCTCGGTGTAGTCACAACAGCAGAGGATATGCGAATGTGCGGTTCAGAAGCAGCATCCATTCCTGTCGTTACTCCTGCGGATGAGGAGCCCGGCAACAAATTGATCATTCGCGACTGACCAAATGGCGTAGTTTCTTCAGGTGGTTCACAGACCTCACCCGTTGGAAATCCAGGCGAGTTGGGCGATTGCACACATTGACAATCCGTCGAAAAATCACACGGACTAAGATGATTAGGTGGAGATCTATAGACTGCACTGTCCGACGTAGATACAGCAGCCACTTTTGAGATGGAGCCGGATTCAGCTGGAAATGTAATCCGTGAGAGTCCCGTTGCAATGGCCCTGTCATCATTAGCACTTTGTGCAGCGGAACTGAAATGTTCGGCGCGCGAATTATTCGCAGGTGTCAAATTTGTCCAATCGAAAGAGGAAAACGAGGAAGGTTCAGCCGCCAGTGAATGAAACTCCTCCTGAGCAGATTCTGGCCTTGGAGAACAATTACACATCTCACTTGTTGAAGCAGGCAGAACCAGTGAAAGCTGAGGTGTATCCGTCGTTTCTTGGTTAGGAGGGATCGATACGGCTTTCTGCTCTAACTCTGTAGACACCCCACCAACAACACCTGACAACGGATTGTCGGCAGGTAAAGAAAATGTACTTGGAGCAAGAGCTTCGACAGCTGGCGAAAGTGAAATTATTTCCGTGCGGCTACATTTGTCGGGGTTCATTGAAGGTGGTCCGAGTGGGGCTGGTAGGATTTCAGTGACGTCATCGGTCCTTTCTTTTACGCCGCCCTCTGACTTGGAATCGGAAGACTGACTTAAAGATAGGTTCGTAATCTTTGTACATTCGGTGGTCACAGGCGGTTCACTAGATGAACAAATCTGTTCTATTCTTTGGGATGGCACAAGGGGGAGGGAGTTCGATAGGTCCGAGTGAGAGACGGGAAAACGTGCTGAGACTTCTGGGAATGTGACTTGCGATAGTCTTTTAACTTCTACTGAAGACAAGTTTTCTATTTTAGGCGGAACATTTATGGCAGAAGAACTTTCGTCGGAAATGCCTGGGGAACTACTTGCGTGCATAAGACCTTCAGCAGAGGGCACAGGAGTTGATGAAAGTTTTCTTGCAACGGACGGCGAAAGACATCCGGAAGTATCTTTTTCTTCTTTTTTTTGGTCCTCTTCCGAAAATGACGGGTAGACAATACACGAGTTGGGCTCTGCGGAAGGGCACACGTCCGAACTCCTTGATGGTTTATTTGTTTCCTGCGACTGACAGGCACCAGAACTTTCATTGTCCACATTTCCTGAAAAATAGCCAGCAAAAACTTCACGTCTAAAAGTGGTATACACACTAAATTAAATTTAAAAATAAGATTTTCTTTTATAAGAGTAGATCTAGGAAGTTTCTTTTATGTTTACAACAGACTGTTAGTTGAATATAAAACCTAGAGAGTTGATAAATTATTTGAAACTTTTGTAAGTCAGTCCTCACAAAGAGGTTAGATGGCAAATATACAGAAAGTAAACCAAGAAACTACCAAAACATTCTATGCAACACGGGATACTCATATTATACGAAAAAAATAATCAGGCTAATTGTGTACAGGGCAATGAAAATTGCCCGGTATTAGCTTAAAGCGGCTGAAAAAATAAAAGGTAGATGTCCATTTTCGAGTTGGATGGGTGGTATTGGCACCTATCATCTATACAAAACTTTGGACCTTAGTTTTTTTTCCTATGTAGGCGTCGCTTGTGTAGTGAAGTGTCAAAGAACATGAAAAGCGAAAAAAATGACATGAGTTATTTGCGAAGAATAAATATGCAGTGATGACCACAATGGCAATCGTAAAGTATTACGGTTCGGCATCTTCGCAGTGGTGGGAACTACGCTCAACCTATGTTGCAGTGTGTAAACATGTTATTGACCAGGTATCATGCTAATTCCTTGCTCTTATCAAGTAGTCGTTCTTATCTAAAGATACTCTGTCTTGCGGATTTTTCTATTCCGTCGGGTGTGTACCCTCTTTTCCGCGTGTTGGTGGTCGTTCGAGAAAGATTTCATCTGAAAATTAAAAGGAGCGATTTACTCGATAAGAACAATTCTACTTTTATCTATTTGTTTTTGACGTCTTATGTAAGGAAACCGATGCTGTTCCATTTGCTAAACTGTCATGTCCAGAAGCAGATAAAGTTAGGTTTGATCGATTGTCTTATTGCGAGCATAGAGGTATCACTGAGCGCTCCAGGTGCAGAAGAGGTTGTTCGAATGATAAGAGGTTTTTACTAAAACATAAAAGCAAAATCACTGCTATTTACAAGCAAAAAATGTGATTTCAGAACTGTTAAGGAAGAAGGGACACATTCCTCAGTGATTTCTTTCGACAGAGCACGACGGCTTTTGACCATATGGTCAGTGAAATCGACAAAAACAGATTCGCCCTTATCGAAGCTTTCTGATAGTCATTGCTAAGATGTCAGAGATATCATTCAGTTCT